AGGGAGCTGTCATAGGAACATGGAAGGGGCTGGGGCCACAGGAGGGAGCTGCTTGAGAGGAGCTGCAGTCCTCAGGACAGAAGTGCAACGTTGCCCAACCCCAGCACAGATGGGAGGGAGCCTGGGTAGAAATACTCTAACCCTTCCTCCTCCCCTCTGACCTCCCTGAGGCACCTCCCATTGGCTGAAGCCAACCAGAGGGCCAAGGGCAAGGCCAAGGGAGGCCACAGAAGAATCCTTCCAGCCACAGGGCAGGGAGGGGGAGGCAGGAGAGATCTAGAAGTTACCCAGCTCACCAGCCCATGAGTCATTAGCTTCCAAGGTCCCATCCTTACCTCCAACAATGCCTGATCCAATGGTGATCAAGGTACCTGCCAGGGGCTGTGCTAGGCTCTGGCCACACAGAAATGACCATACACACCGCGACCCTCCCACCAAGGCAAGGGCTAAACCAGTGGTTCCCAAACTTATTTGGCCTACCGCCCCTTTCCAGAAAAAATATTACTCAGCGCCCCCTGGAAATTAATTTTTTTTTAAATTTTAATAGCAATTAAACAGAAAGATATATGTATTAATGTTTCTACCTTTTTCGTAAAATATAGTAAAGAAAGGTGTAAATTAGAAACATTGAAGTTTGAAATTATGAAACTATTTATTGAACTCAGAATAGAAAGGTAATACAAAAAAAGTTAAAACAAATGCACCTATGGCCATCACCGCCCCCCCCCCCTGGATCGCTGCAGCGCCCACCAGGGGGCGGTAGCGCCCACTTTGGGAATCACTGGGCTAAACAAACAGGCACTGAAATATGGTTACCAGCTGGGATATGTTCCATGGAAGGAAAATGGGAACATGATTAGAATGTAAAGGAAGAACTGGTCCCACTCTAGGCAGTGAGGAAGGCTTCTTGGAAGAGGGGGGACACTTTGACTTAGGTCAGAAAAGAGTGGGGATGGTATGTTTTGGGAAGAGGAAACAGAATATGCAAAGATCCCAGGGTGGGCACTTTCAAAAACTTTAAACAAGGCCAGCCCGGCTGGTGCGCCTGGAATTCAGCGAGCAAGAGAGAGAAACTCTGCCCGGCCGGTGTGACTCAGTGGTTGAGCATGGACCTATGAACCAGGAGGTCACAATTGGATTCCAGGTCAGGGCACATGTCCGGGTTGCAGGCTTATCCCTGATCGAAGGACAGCCCTATGGGACCCAGGCACCGGGCTTCCCTGGGCTCCAGGCCCCCTGCCCTGTCTGGGTTGGGCGATGGTCCCCACTGTCTGTGTTTTCATCCATGTAGATGCTGCCCTCCTGGATCATCGGCCTCCTCCTGCTGGCCACCGTCAGAGGTGAGGGTGCTATCCCATCCCTGTGGGGAGAAAGGGACCATGCCTGGGCTGGCCTCTGGGTGGGGCAGCTAGAGGCCTCATCATCATTATCATCATAATGAACAGCGTTATCATTATTTCAAGAAAAACTACAATTGCCACCATTCAGGGAGTGTTGATGCTGTAGCAAACACAGGGCAACGTCTTAGACACAGATGACCCTGGGGACCCACCCGCCCTTTTCCTCCAGCAACTGGCTGTGATGGGGTGACCAAAGTGGTAGGCTGTTGGGCAGCGGTGTTGGGGGAGGGTGCTCTCGACAGGCCCCCAAGACCCTCAGTCCCTTGTGTGGACAAGTGTGTGTCTGCAGTCTAGGCTACATGGATGTCCTACGGAGAACTGTCCCTCCCTCCCCATCACTCCTCTCGTTGTTGCCACCTCTCTCTCTCCAGCTCCAATCTGAGCCTTTACTCTGGCCTCTCTTCCGCTGGGCTTCCTTCTGCACGAGGAGTCCTCCTTTCCTCCTCACCTTGCCCAGCCCACTCTTGGCCTCCCTTCCATCTTGGCCATGCAGCAGGACCTGACTCCAGAGAGCAGAGCCCACCCGGGTCTGGCTGCTCCTCGGGCCTTTCTGGCCCCTCTTGGTCTCCTTTGCTCCTCCTCTGCCTCCTCCTGCCCTAAATGTGAGCATCCCACAGAGGTCACTCCCGGCGCCCTCCTCGCCCTTTTCCTGTGGCTTCCCCTTTGCCCAGCGTCTGCTTCCCACACCCCCCCTATCCCTTCTCGCCCCCTTCAATTACCAGGCAGCTACACCAGTGCCTCCCACCATGCTTCACACTCACTTGTTCAGGCTCAGGCACCACTTCCTACCCTGTCTCTCCACCCTTCCCTTCATTTCCACTGTCACCCAAGACTAGAATGCCTGTTTCCTCTCAGACCCACCACCCCTGTACTGCCCCACTCCA